GCGGCCGGCCTGCACGCATCACCTATGTCAGCAGAGCGCGTTGTGGCCTTCATGGACCACATCCGAGTCTTCCAAGAGCAGGTGGAGAAGCTGAAGGCCCTGCAGGTCGACACAGCTGAATATTCTTGTCTCAAGTCCATTGTGCTCTTTACATCTGGTGAGTTTAAGTGAAAAAATGGGAAATAAGTAGACTTAAGTAAAGTAATATATTCTCTAGAAATGTAAAATCAGCTGGATTACCAAGTTGCCACTATTTCATATCATTGTGTGAGCTTTGTCTTTAGAGTGCTGTTAATTTGGCACCGCTGAAAGCACCTCTGATCGTCCTTTAGATCAGCTGAGAGGCTATAAGACCGATGCCATCTGTGTCCTGTGAGTATGTTTTGCTCAGGGAGGAAGGGAGGAATTAGCATCCTGCTAATCTGATTTCTACTGGCACGATAGCATTGTGTTTACTGAACATGTAAGCTTACAGTATCATGTTAACAACGTAACCTGAATCAGATGGCCAGTAGCGGGGTTATTACGCACATTTAAACACAGCCAAGGCGAACATTTGATCACGATGTTCTTAAGCAGAGAGAAAAACGACCAGTGAAAAGAATAAAACGGCACATAAGGATTATATTTTTGTCATGACAACATAATAACATAATAGTGGTCTAGATTAATTTAAAAGACAACTATAAATCATTAAAATGCTGTGCAAAGGTGCTACCTATACCTGCTACCCATAGGTGATATAAAAAAATGCTCAGATTCATCCTAAAAGTTGCAAATACAAGCTTTAAGAAAGAAACAAAAGGTTTGCTAACACAAACCCCTGTACGACACACACCTCAGGTGCATTTGAATGGAAACCAGTACTATGCCTGACTGAGAGGTGACCTCTAATGCTGCAGTAGATTGTGTCTCATTGGCTCCATATGTAAATGCTGCTGCTAGTCAGTCATGGTCTCTGCCCTCCATGAATTTGACTGTAATTTGATCACTTTGTCATACTGTAAAAGGCAGCTCTTGACCCCTGTGAGCTGCTCGTGCGTCACTTGAACCTCTTTGTTTCGCCGAACATAAGAATAAGCTTTCACTACGCACTATAAACTTTGCATTTGTGGGAACGACTCTTTGAAAAGCAATTTATTTCTCAATTTACAGTAGCAAAAAGAATCTGTTTATATAAAGTTCAAGAAACAACAGATTCATTATATTGTATTGTTGCATGCCTACTATTTGGACCCAAATCCAGTGTTATAAACCCCTTATTATACACAGTACAGTACTCGACAACAAAGAAAATGCCTTTATGCTAGAATAGATTTGTCGGTTTGCATCCAAAGCTTAGAAAAACAGGCCTCTTGAGCCTCACAACCTTACATTATGTGGCAATATGGCCTCCCCACTGAGTGACAGAGAGAATTAAATCAAAATATAATAGTTTTACTTCTTGGCAAAACCCCTGGCATCTGCATTGTTTTGATCCCGCTTATACACAAAGCCTGTTGAGGTTTATCCCAGCAGTCACTGGGCTCCAGCGTCAGCCAAAATACTGTCACATCTGGGATATTTCAGAGAGAGATCATGCTTTGTGACCCAGGGGGAAATGGATGGTGAAGAAGCCAACACTGAGATGTCTCTCCTCTGTGTTATTTTACTGCTTTTCCCCCCCTTTCCCATCTTGCATGGCTTGTCAGATTCACTCTCTGCCCACTGAGCATCTTCACCAAGCTCCCTGTATGTAGGTAGCCAAGGATCCTCCTCTCCCTTCTTTTGCCTGTTTTCATCAGCCATCTCGCCTTCATGATCCCATCTATTATTAAAACCAGTCATCCACCCCTCCTCCCAACGCTCCCCAAACCCTAAACTCCAAGACCAGCCCAACCCAAGCCCCAGGACCCCTGCCCCCACCACAGGAGTTGAATTATGTATGGTACATTTCAGTGAGAAGGAGGATTCGCCATGACCTACATAACCCCTATAGCCCTAAGCATCCCATGTGACCTCCCTATACGCGCAGAAGCACATGTATACACATTAAAAAGCTGCACATCTTGGCAAGACCCTCGAACAGGATATTGTATTTCTTTGTGAAATATTCACACCTGAATTCAAAATCCTGAATTTGACGTAAACATGCACACACCGTAAATAGACCTGTTAATAAATCTGACCCTTGCAGACCTGGTAGGAAGCTCAGACAAACACCAATTGTCTCCCACCTCCCTCTGAGTCCCCTCCCACCACTCCCCCTGTGAAGCCCAGTCCGATCAAGCTACATCAGAGAGCGGGCATCTCAATCCTGCCACCCTGATCCCTCACCCACAATGACCCAGTGAGTGCCCGAGGATCAGACAAAAGAACACGGTGCTTGGCGTAGAAGGGCACCCACAGAGCTGTCGCTTCAGCACACGAAGTGGTTTCAGTCACACAGACAGCTTCGCTAATCCCAACCGGGCAGTGACTGCCTTGTCACGAAGGACTCTCGAAATGGTCGGGCTGACAAAAACGCAGTCCATCTGCCTCCCGAGTGGATGGAAATACAACCAAAGTGGGAACAATTATTCACCCGGAATGATGAGAATAGCGGCTGCAGGGCGGGTGGGGAGGGATTGACGTGCTTGATTAAAATATGAGGTGAATTAATTTTTTGTTTTTGTGGAACTGAGGCAGGGTTTTACACAGGGGACAGATCAAAGTGTGAGAAGACAAAGGAGACCTGTGATGCAGGATGACGGGTTAAAACTCACGGGCCAACGCCTTTTAACCGAAAGACTAAGCTGGAGAATAAATAACCCTCATCGAATACCTGCCTTCAATATGTGGGTTCACGCAGGGGGCAGGGTCAAAGAGCACTCCCGCTTCTCGTACAGTATGTGGCCGAGTACAGTAGAATGCGTCTTTGTTTTGAGTTCACACATCTCTGACCTGCTTTGCAAAATCCCCTGTGATCTCCGCTCCACACACAGGGTGTGAAAAGCACCGCGTGCTGCGTTACACACTCTTGGTTGTGCGAGACTCTTGCCAAGGTGGGGGCGAGAGGTAGAAGAAAATGTCTCCCCAGCTGAGGAGAAAGTGAACACAGACCACAGGGGTGGAAGTAGATCTCCGCTGTGACAA